TTGTGTCTTGCTCACAACACACCTGTTAATACATCCCAGAATCATGTTTGCTTTTTTTGCAACAGCATCACACTGTTGACTCATATTTAGCTTGTGGTCCACTATAACCCCTAAATCCCTTTCTGCAGTAATCCTTCCTAGACAGTCTCTTCCCATTCTGTATGTGTGAAACTGATTTTTTTCTTCCTAAGTGGAGCACTTTGCATTTGTTGTTGTTAAACTTCATCCTGTTTAACTCAGACCATTTCTCCAATTTGTCCAGATCATTTTGAATTATGACCCTGTCCTCCAAAGCAGTTGCAATCCCTCCCAGTTTGGTATCATCCGCAAACTTAATAAGCGTACTAGTACTAGGAGTACTAAAGTTACTACTGCAATTGTTGGGGATATAGGAACATAGCAATCTCTTTGTTGTTATAGTTCAGTGTCCAGTTCACTCAGAGCAGTTTTTATTATTAATTATTATTACTACTACTACTACTACTACTGTTATTGTTACTTCCATCACAGTATTCTTGGGGATTGGAAATGTTAATTTAAGGCTCACCCTAATACTTTTGGAGCCAAAATCTGTGGGCAGCTGACCATATGAGAATTCCTCTAGTGGGCAGGGAGAAGGGGACTCTTTGTTGCTGTGAAGCTGGTGGAGTTGGCTCCTACACCAACTACCCTCCTCGTTCTGGCACCGGGGTGTACAGGGAAGAAAAGGAACATGTTGGTGGCAGGCTGGGTTGTGTTGCAGGAGGGCAAAGGCAACTTGGCCTCACCAATTAGGGAGCCTAGTCAGCTGTCATAAGGTAGATCAGCCTTTATTGCAGGTATCTGGCTCCCGGACAGCACTCCCTACTCTCCTGTCCAAAGGGCTGCCCAGTGCAGGAGAGACTCTAATCCTGGATCTTTTTGTTTTGGAAGCTGGAAACACAGGAAACATTCTGCTTTCACTTCCTAGCATGGTCTCTTGTTTTTCTTCTTCTAAGTTTTACAAAATAATAACATTCCTTTCCCTACCTTTCCCCAAAGTCTTGGTGTCAAGCCAATTACATAATCACTCACACATTTTTACTTGGAACTTACACTACTATGTCCCCAAATAGTAATACATTACTTTACAAAGTTACCACAATAAAATGAATTGCACGTTTGAAACATTTTGACGTAGGGAACCCTTTCCCCAGGTCTTACTTTTCTCTCATCAGCTGTGTAGTGGCTTGCATACCACAAACTTCGTCTCCTTGAGGTCGGGTTGCAGTCTGTTTCTTTGTCTTCTTCACTGATACCAGATTTCTCGTCATCATCCATCTCCTGAACAATGGGAATGGCAGGGATAGTTGTAATTCTTAAATAGTGATTTTCTAAGAGTAACACTGTGGTACCCAGATGCTGTTTTTCCTCTAAATTATATACCTTGAAATATCTTCTAGTGTTTAATGTACTGTATCGATGATGGATGTGTTATTAGTATGACATTTTCAGAAAATGATGACAGAGCTATTCTATAATTGCTAAACCCATCAATATCAAGATGTTTCCTGATTCCTACAGGATACCATAAGTAACCAGACGTCCACATCCTGCTTTATAGTATAAACCAAACCATAAAGTATAATGCAGATATGTAATCATTTTAAAGCTAGATTTACTGAAATTAAAACTCTCTGTTTGTCTATTTGAATGTGGGGACAGCATTGTCTTGCTATACTGAGAAGTAAATTAAATGAAAAAAATATTTTCTGGGCATATGTAATACGTATTCAAAGACTACAGAATAACACACTAATCCTGTTCCTGATGTATGGTAACACAGTAAATGGATCAGGACAGTGAACTGATTCAGAACATCTACAAGCCACACCTTGAACAATTATGGAATCACATGCCCAATGGGAAGTTTCTTCCAATCCCCTACCTCTTAGTAGTTAGGTTTTAATCTCACTGTGAATAACAAAACTGAGGATTTTTAGGATAGAGTGTACATGCTCTAAAGTGGGTTATCCCGTGAGGAAAAGCAAACTACTAACAAACATTTGAGTCTAACAAACAGGAAGCATTAGAGTCTGATACTGCATTGCTGGTACACTAACATCATAGTTACCTTAAATCATACTTCATCTCTATGTAATTTCTATCAGCCTGGGCTAAATAGCAGGCAGTTTAGAGAGTTGATTACACATAAGTATTAAGCCAAATTCTGATGTCATTTATACTGCTGTAAGGCCCCAATTCAGAAAACCAATCCCTATTTAACAAAGCATTTAAGCACATGCTTAACTTCAAACACATGCTAAGGTCCCACTGGCCTGAATGGGACTTAAACATGTGTTCAAGTGCTTTACTAAATTGCAACCAAAATCCAGCGTATCTATTGACTTCCGTGCTCAGGGTTTACACTGATGTAAATTAGAACAGATTTTGATCTAGTCAAGTAATTTTCATATTTTTTTCCCACTTTCAATGGTCTGATTCAACAGGGGGAAACATGATTTTTTCTGCACATTTTATTCTTTCCATTTAGTAGATACATTTTATTTCTTTGTTTCAAATGACGCCTGAATTAAATTGACTCCCCCCTCTTTTTAAAAAAAAAAAAAAAGGAGGACAGTATCATAACCAATGTCCACTCAGCTCTGGGAACAATGTTTGTCAGTTTATTTGAGCTCCATCTGCTGACTCTATTGAAACAGCACAAAATGTTATTTTTGTCTTCTTCCTCAGGCCAAGATTTTCAAAACCAAGACTCTGAAGCTGGGCTTTAATGGGGGTTGTGAGGTTCTCTGCCCTTTTATATATCAGCCCACTTATTCTGAAGTCTAACCCATGAAATAGAGCTGAGATTTACAAAGCTGCCCTTGGGAGAAGGGTGCCTAAATAATCCAGGTGGATTTGAAAAACCCACTCTACAAACCCCATATTAAGCTCCTCTTTTTAAAAAGCTCAGCCTAAATAAGCAGTATGTATTAATTTATTTTTACTTCTCAAAAGCATAGCAGCACATTTCACATATGTATGTATATTTATATTTAGAATCTAGAGGATATTTCAAACCAAATTTTAACAAATGTAAAATAAACTAACTATAAGGCTTAAATTTTCCATGCCACTTTCATGTATTGAAAGTTTTCAGATAAAAGTGTCCCACAACAAAACATTTACCAGCAACATTTAGTTTGGCATCGATTTGACCAAACAAACACTAAGTGAACTGAGGCATTGAGATAATGATTTTAAATGATACAAACTTCAGGTGGTGATGGGTGAGGGTGGGAAATGGTGTCTTGTTCAATCTATTTCAAGGATGAGGAAAAAGAGGTAAAGCAGATCATTATCTAGCAGATAATCTCATAATTCTAGGTTGTCTTTGGCTTGTCCAACACTTTCAGTTCTCCCACCATACAAGCAACTATGATGGTTGAGTGCACAGCTCCAGGAGAGTTTAAGAGTAGCACTAACAATGTTCTCCCAACCTCCACCTTCCCCATCAGACTAACTCAAACAACATTGCAAATAGTAGAGGCCTGGTTCTCTTCTCACACAAGCTTCACAGTGAAGTTATTCCTGATTTACATCAAAGTGAGCAAGTGAAGAATCAGGCCCTAGATTCATATTTTAAATATTATCCAGGGAACCTCTGGACAAACTGATTCCTGATATAACTTCACTGAAGTCACCAGAGATAAATTGGCTCTTCTTGTTTTATTAAATTATTGCAGGACTCAAGGGCCCAAACATGAGGTCCTTACTCAAGCAAACTTCCAAACAATTTTAATGGGAATTTTTCCTGAGTAAAGACTGAAGGTGAAATTCACCTCTGCGTAGAAGTAGCACAATCATGCACCATTTAAAATCCCACTTATACTCCTTTTTGAGCACTTTTTCTCACTCTGAAAACTCAGGACCCAAATGTGGGCATAATTCCTTGAGCATTAGACTCATAGACTTTAAGGTCAGAAGGAACCATTATGATCTTCTAGTCTGACCTCCTGCACAACGCAGGCCACAGAATCTCACCCACCCACTCCTATAACAAACCCCTGACCTACGTCTGAGCTATTGAAGTCCTCAACTTGTGGTTTAAAGACTTCAAGGTGCAGAGAATCCTCCAGTAAGTGACCAGTGCCCCATGCTGCAGAGGAAGGCGAACCACCCCCCCAGATCTGCCCTGGAGGAAAATTCCTTTCCGACCCCAAATATGGCGATCAGCTAAACCCTGAGCATGTGGGCAAGACTCACCAGCCAGACACCCAGGAAAGAATTCTCTGTAGTAACTCAAATCCCGACCTCTCTAGTGTCCCATCACAGGCCTTTGGGCATATTTACTGCTAATAGTCAAAGATCAATTAATTGCCAAGATTAAGCTATCTCATTATACCATCCCCTCCA